GTTCTGGTTCAGCGCAGGGCCTCCCTCCACCGGCTGCCGCTTTTCATGGCTCCTTCCCGTGGCCCGGGTGCCGCTGGTGTGGGGCTGATGTAGCCGCTTGAGCACAGCGGGTCGGTGGCTGGAAGGCTGGTACGCAGTGGTGCCTTGGGACGTGGTGCGGCTTCCAGCTGCCACATGCTCCAGGTGGGTGGCATGGGGCTGCCGCGCCCAACCCCATCTCTGCAGAGATGGCCATGGCTCAAGCTGAGCAGCTTGCCGGGCGGACGGTTCCTCCCCCAGCCTGCGGAGATGGCTGCGAGCTGCTGTCTGCAGGGAATGCTGCTTAGGACCGCACGCTGCAGAGCTGAGCTCTTCAGGGGAGGCTTTCGGCTGGTTCCTTCCTGAGCAGACTGTCTCTCTAGGTGCGCCCCTTTGCGGCCTTCCACCCGTGACAGGCCTCTCCTGGGAACACTGCACCACAAGCAGCCTGCTTGCCTCTTCCCAGCCTGGCTGAAGCTTTGTGGTGCTAACCCTTCCCACTCCTGGGCCGCTCCTGCCTATTGTCAGACCATGGCCTCTGCGCTCCTGCGGACCCCTTCGTTCTGGGGCCAGCAGGCATTTTGAGGGGGTCTGCGCCTCTCCCACGGGCTGGCAGTGACTCTGGGTCCATGTATCTGTAGAACTGTGGGTTTGCCATGCTGCTGTCTGCATGGGGCAGCACCTGGCCAGTGGGCGCGCACGCTAGGGGTGCACCACGAGGCAATGCTGTGGATTAAATGATACCCCAATGTGTGTCCATTTACGTTTGATCAGATAGTTGTTTCTTAAGCGCGGCTTTGTGTGTCCATAAGCAGCTGCAGAGTGAGGACGCGCCGGGGCAGAGAGCGCCTCCCGGCTGCCTGTAGTAAATGGCGTTTCCCAAATCTGCCGGCAGGTGGGGTGGAGCTGGCCATCTTTGTTCCCAGAGGATGGTGATCCTGCATCCTTCCACTGGCTCCCCATTCTCTCTTCATCCAACACCAGCTACTTGTCTTCATTGCTTCCGGGGCCTATCTCCTCCTTCCTTGGCTTCTCCCATTCCCTGGTAGGATGGCAGGGTCCATCTCCCGTGGCACCCTGAAGGTACATTCTCCCCCCCCCCACACACTCACTTTTCCATTATCCTTTGCCAGGACAACTTCTAAAAACCGAAGAGCACCGCCGATCCCGCAGACCCATATTGGTTCATTGTTCCCTTGTGCCTGTCTAGGGCAGGGTTGGCAACCTTTGGCGTGCAGCCCAGCAGGTAGAATGCTGGTGGGTCCCATTGTGCCCACTGCCAGGCGCGGTGCAGCATGGCTACGGGGAGCTGCTGGCGAGGGACAGCCCTGCAGACGGTCCCGGTAAACAGAATGTCTTGCAGCAGCTGAAGGAACTCTGTCTGGAGGTGAGGTGCCTGCTAAGGCTCCCACCGGTCCAGGGCAGCGGCTTGGCTCCCAACACCCTGCTGAAATGGTTTTCCTCCAGCTCTGCAGTGCGTTCTGACTGGCAAAACTCAGCAGTGATTTTGAGATGCCCCGGCCATGGCAGCAGCATCTGCCTTCATGTCGCTTCCTGATTGCCTGCGGCTTCCCTTTCTGCTGAGGCACCTTCCATCCATGCCTTCCACAGCACCAGCAAAGCAGCAGCAATGTCTCTACGGTCCCTGAAGGCTGTGGATAATAGGGTTCGGTATACTGAGCTTATCCTCTGCATTCCTCTCTAAGCTCATGCTGGGCACTTGGAATGAGAAACTACCATTTATTTTATCACTGTTTTTTTACAACATTTCCTGAGGATAGGCCAGCTCTTAATAAATTGTATCTTAGCATGGGAAAAAGTTTAGAAAAGGGCAACAAAAGCGAGGGGCTTGGAACGGCTGCCCTATGGGGGGAGAGTAAAAATACTAGAACTCTTCATCTTAGGAAAGAGGAGACTGAGGAGGATAGGCTAGAGGTCTGTAAAATCATGGCTGGCGTGAAGAAGTGAATATGGAAAAGTTACTTGCTCCCATAAAGATAAGACCTAGGGGTCACCCAATGAAATGAATAGGTGGCAGGTTTAAAACAAAACAAGGTTTCTTCACACAGCGCACAATCGACCTGTGGAACTCCTCGCCAGAGGATGTGGTGAAGACCAGGACTTTTAACAGAGTTCAAAAAAAGGGCTAAATAGATTCATGGAGGTTGGGTCCATCAATGGCTGAGAGCCAGACTGGGCAGGATCGGTGTCCCTGGCCTCTGTGTGTCAGAAGCTGGGAATGGGTGACAGGGGAGGGATCACTTGATGATTCCCTCCCTCGGGGGCACCTGGTGCTGGCCACTGTGGGCAGACAGGACACTGGGCTGATGGGCCTTTGGTCTGGCCCAGCCTGGCTGCTCCGACATAAAACAGTCAACGGCGGAATTCCATCAAACATCTCGAGGGAGAATTGGTTTGGCTCCTCCTGCTCTCATCAGTGAAGCTGAACCAAAGCAGCTGTTAGGGCAAGTATCTCGTGACTTCAGCAACAATTTCTTTGCTCCTGGAGAAGATGGACTTCAGTCTGTGGCTGAAAGGTGTGAAATGGGCACTGCGGCCATGTGTTAATACGGAGCACCCTTCCATTCTAGGCATCTTTGTCCCGTGCGCATGGTCTGAGACAGTATCGCGCACATGCCAGTTGAGTCCATTACTGCTTTTGCTGCCGCGCCTTGTAACTGTTCTGTGGCGAGAGCACTTCCCGAGGTATCTGTTGTTTGTGAAAGATAAGCAACCCCATCTTCTGTTGTCACCGGGCATGGATTCTGGATCGCTGTGTATCTTGGCTGAAACTGCCGCTTCCCCTCAGTATTTCTTGCTCTGTTCAAGTTCCTTCCCGTGCTCTGTATCTAGCAGCCTTCCACCACCGTCTGCTGGGCCAGGTGGCGTGTAGCCTGGGTTTAAGGCTCAGCCATGTTGAGGAAGGTGCTGACTGTTAACAGTGGGAAAAGGAGAATTTGTGGCATAAATGAGCTGAGCTACCTTTTCATCTCTTGGTATTTGCTGGTCCTTGCGACAGAGCGGCCCGTGGTGGTTTGGCTGGAGGGCTGACATCTGCTTGCTACTGAGACTTTATCGTCTGAAATACGTTTAGCTGCAGCGCTGCCACTCACAGTACCAAGGGACGACTTTGAAGCTGTTGCAGATAGAGTCCGTCTCCTACGCGTAAATGGGATCCTGAAACAGAATTAGCAACGATTGAGCAGGGATGTAACAGTGCAGTTGATTAACCAGTGAGCAAACGCTGATAGGGTAATGCTGTGGACTTTCCCTCCCCCCACCCTTGCCAGTAAATGTGTTAGCAGGCTGGCCAGCAGCCCGGCTCAGTTCCAGCTCACGCTGGGTCCAGAACCTCCCCCCGCTGCGGCTCTGAATTTAAAGTGTATTAGGAGCCAGGCGGGCAGGCAGCCCGGCTCAGTTCCAGCTCGCACCGGATCCAAGAGCTCAGACCCCCCCTTAGATGCGCTGCTGCCACCTTGTGCTGCTGCCTCTTTATCAGGGACAGCAGCGCGGGGCGACAGGCAGCCGGTCCGCGAGGGGGGCTGGTTTTTAAATAGCTCCCCTTGTGGACCAGCTCCCCCCGGCACCCTAGCCAGGCGGGCAGGCAGCCCGGCTCAGTTCCAGCTCGCACCGGATCCAAGAGCTCAGACCCCCCCTTAGATGCGCTGCTGCCACCTTGTGCTGCTGCCTCTTTATCAGGGACAGCAGCGCGGGGCGACAGGCAGCCGGTCCGCGAGGGGGGCTGGTTTTTAAATAGCTCCCCTTGTGGACCAGCTCCCCCCGGCACCCTGCACCGCGACTGCTGACTAGTCGACTCACCACTAGGAATTCATGAGGTTCCTCGACTATTAAATTAACCGATATCGAACATCCCTGATTTTGAACATTTCTTCTCCGCTCTTCTCACTCTATTATTTAGTTACATTTTTAGCAAGGCTGCACATCCGATTCCAAGTGACTGCAAAAGCTAAGACTGACTGGGTTCAAATGCACTTAATTGGGGGTAAGTCCCATGAAGCGCACAGGCACGGCTGGTTTGAGAAGTACAGACCAGGGTTCCTTGGGAGAGCTGAGTCACGCTGGAGTAAAACAAGGGCTAGAGGTTTGCCATCGCCAGTGGGCAGGCTGTGTCAAAGGAAGGGGCCTGCATTCTGTAGCCTCAGAAAGGGAAGTGTCACTCCGGGACACCTGGCAACTCTGGGTCCCTCGTACTGCAGCTCTGTGCTGTGTGCTTGGGTGAGGGATTCCAAACCTCATTAACTGATTAAACAAGCCGTGAGGATTGGCTAAGTGACAGGCTTTTCTAGCAACTCAACACAGCAAACAGCTCGGGAATTGGCTGCCGCTGACAGGCCGAGCGCGTGCAGAGTGGTGCCTTGCAAAGGGAGCTGCACAGCCGCTCTTCACGTTCCTTCTGCCAATGGGCGCTTTCCTGCTTGTGCTGCTTGCGCCTGGCGCCTTTTCCTTTTTGTCCAGCAAACACATTTCTTCCTCCTGTTGCCAGCAGGGTCTCTCGCCCACAAGCCACGGCCCTGTTCCATGGCAGAAGTGTGGGGTTATGAGAAACTGTGTGTGCCAAATGTCTTCCCTTCTTCCCAGCCCACTCCACTCTTCCTTCCTGTGCTGCCCCTGCCATTAACCGTGTCCTAACGACCCCTCTGCTCTGGCCCCTGCATGGCCCAGCCCTGCCACCGCATGTGCACGGAACAGCGACAGCCCTACCCAGCTGGGCCTGCCTTTGCACGTGACTTGATTCTGCTGAGAGGGGGGAAGCGAAAGGCCAGACCTTTTGAGAAGCAGGCGCTGGGAATTGGGCCGGACAGACTAGAGCACGAATTAGGGATGTGAAGGACCAGGCGACAGGATAGTCGACTAGTCGCTTCCCCCCTTGCTGCCTCTGTCTGATAGAAGCAGCAAGGCGGGGAGAAGAGGAGGCACTTCAAAGCGGCAGTGCTGCTGTGGCCACTTGGAAACACCGCGGAGAGCCCGGCGTCAGGTTCCCCGAGGCGTTTCCACGTGGCAGCGCCGTACAGAGCTTGGGGTTGCGCCCACCAGACCCGGGCTCCACGCGGCGCTTTCGCCTTTAAAGTGTCGCAATAGCCCTGGGGCCGTTGCTATGCTGCGGAGGCGCCCTGGTGACTAATGGACTCTTCCACTTGCCGTCCTTCACGGGAATCCGTGGCTGAGGCTGAGCGGAGGGCTGGCGTGCGCGGGAGGAGACTGAATTGTAACGGTTGTGTGTTAAATGAGAGAGGTGGGGTTTATTGATGACTTTCCAAAAGTTTAAATCGTTGATTTTTGTCCCCCTGCTTTTTACCACAGCTGTCGCCTTCCTGGCCACTTGCAGCCGTGTCGGGGTTCAGCTTGCTGGCCGAGTGCCAGCCGGCTGTAGTTCTGTTCTGCCATGCTGGCTCCTGGGCGTGTGTCCTGTGCCCACTGCTGGCTCCCTGAGCACTCCGACAGGAGCTGTGAGCGCTGGCCCTCAGCCCGGCGGGCCAAGCCCCCAGTGAGTTAGGGTTCCTACACGGTAGCCAGGGCTCTGCTGTGCTCTGGTCTTATTGGAGGCCTGTTGCCTTGTCTGTGCAGAGGGCGTGGTGCTGGGTGGCCAGCGGTTTGTGGCAGCCCACTGCAGACGGGCTGGTAAGCCGGGAAGGGAAGCAGGAGGGAGGAGGCCATGCTGCCTTGGCCCATGGCTCCAGCGAAAGCACTGGAACAGGGTCAGAGACCGACGAGAGGGCTGGAGGGAAACTCCAGGAGCTCAGCCTCATCGATGGCTGCGGAAGAGGCCGAGCTGCTTGATGCGGGCCTGGAAGGTCCCCGCAGGGCGCTTTCTGGAGCCGAGAGCTCTGTGGTGCAGAGCCGGTGGCTGCAGGCTGCGGTGCGCGCCACTGGCGTGGCTGCGCTAGTGACGGGTGATTCTCTGTCCTGCGAGCGGCGAAGGGGCTGGGCGAGATGGGCGCTCTGCGCAGCCGTCCCTTCCCCGAGTGGCGCTCAGCGTGTGGGCTGTGCTAACTCTCGTCTCTTCTCCTCTCTTCCTTTGAGGTGTCCAGTGCTGATTTTCAAGGAGTTTGGCTCTCTTGGAAGCTCCTGGCCTAATGCCATGAATATTGAGGTGAACAATGGGGAGGAGAAAGCTGTCCATTCGTGGTCCAGACTCTCCTCTGCAGGACAGAAAGCCCTGGAGGAAGCTCTCAGAGTCTTCAACCCCATGTCCAAGGACCTTTCGGACACTGAAACCCAGCTGGTGGCCTTTCTCCAAGGCCTCCGGGAGGAAGGCTACCAGCCCACAATCCTAAGGAGCAAGGATGTGTATGGGTACAGCTCTTGCACGGCAGATACGCCCAGCCAGGCCCGCGAGGGGGCGGCTGCCTCGCACTGTACTCGCACTCTCGGGGGAGGCCCAGCAGTGACCCCCGAGTTGCCTGGGACCCTGTCCCCGCCAAGCCTGGGCCTAAAGGGAGCGCCACAAACCTGCTGCTGAACTCGCTGAAAGAGACGAGGACAGGCCCCTCCAAGGCCTCCGCCATGGGCTTCCCCACCACCATGTACCCGGACGTGTATCCAGCCATGCGCCTCTCTGTCGTCCTGGAGGCCTTGGTCCCGCTGAAAGCCCCAGCGTCCTGCTTGGAGCCCAGACGCAGAGCGGGGCGCCTGGGCCTCGCCTCCTCGGACCTTAAGCTCCTGAAGGCATCTCCTTTGGGCAAGAACGCCAGGCTCCCCTCGGGGCCCCTGGAGCCCAGCCCATGTACCCGGACGTGTATCCAGCCATGCGCCTCTCTGTCGTCCTGGAGGCCTTGGTCCCGCTGAAAGCCCCAGCGTCCTGCTTGGAGCCCAGACGCAGAGCGGGGCGCCTGGGCCTCGCCTCCTCGGACCTTAAGCTCCTGAAGGCATCTCCTTTGGGCAAGAACGCCAGGCTCCCCTCGGGGCCCCTGGAGCCCAGCTCCGAGGGCGCCTGACTCGGCGTCTCTTGCTGGGAAGCTGCTGAGGGGCGCGGAAGGGGGGGTGCTGAAGGAGAGTAACGCTTGCAAAGCCTCTGGGATCCTGAACGGGAGGGTGACGGAGAGTGCAGCTCAGAGTGGCAGCGGGGGGGCCAAGGAGGGGCTGGCGGGGCGGAGCCAGTGGAAGGGCGGCAGCGGTGGGCAGAAGAGGAAGATTCCCGGGCCATCAAGGTGGCCGGCTCTTCAGACGAGGAAGTGAGGAGGCGGGCGCAGCAGATCCTTAGGGTCAACCTGTCCCCTGTGATCAGAATCCAGCCACTGCCCCGCTCTCCCAACGTCCCCTGAGTGCCTCTTGCCAGCCACTTGCTTTGAATATGCCTGTGGGCGCCGGAGCCGGAGCCGGAGCCAGGCTGTGGAGACGTGTGCGAGCAGCTCGTGGCCTCTAGCACAGGGCAGCGTGCAGCGGCCGGGCCTGCAGACTTAGGGTCAACCTGTCCCCTGTGATCAGAATCCAGCCACTGCCCCGCTCTCCCAACGTCCCCTGAGTGCCTCTTGCCAGCCACTTGCTTTGAATATGCCTGTGGGCGCCGGAGCCGGAGCCGGAGCCAGGCTGTGGAGACGTGTGCGAGCAGCTCGTGGCCTCTAGCACAGGGCAGCGTGCAGCGGCCGGGCCTGCAGACTTTGGCCACGGGCTCCCATGCTGTAGCTGGCCGCCGGCCGCCGAGAAGTGCAGGGAGCCGACTCCCAGCCCCAGTGGGAACGGAGCCAAACGCGAGCGCCTGTTGCTGTGCGCCTCTGGGCCTGGCGGAGGGGGCGGTTGCGCGGGGGCAGGGCCGCTCTCGGGCTGCTGGCGCACTGGGAGGCTCTGCCCTTCGCCAGCTGTACAATGATCGGTTTTATTTTGATCAGATTTTCTAACTTTATTATATCTCTGTCTCTGCACAATGGCCTGGGCCTGTCTGAAGACGCTTCCTCCGCCCTGGATTCGGGCTTAACCTGCCCTGCACTCAGCCTCTGGCGAGAGGGCGCCAGGGTCTTTCCCACGGTCAGTGTTGTGCCCGGGCAGAATTGGAGCCAGGCCTTTGTCTCTGCACCGCTGCAGGTCTGTCCTGTCTGCAAAGGCCGTGCACAGCGGGGCGGCTGGCTGGGCTGCCGGCTCTGGGGGGCTGCTGGATCTCTGGGGCTGCCCCTTTCGCGAGACTCCCGGGGTCGCTGCCAGAGGGCAGTGCCAAGCGCCCCACTGTTAACTGCAGAAGGGAGGTGGGGGCGGGCTGCCGGGTCTCCGCTGCCGGGCGGGCAGAGCACTCGCCCGGGGCTCTGAATGTCCCGTTGCGCGGCCGAGGACCGGAGCACGGGGGCGGGGCTGGGAGAGGCGTTCCCGGCCCTTTCACTGCAGCGGCGTTAGTTTCTGGGGTGGTTTGCTCCAGCTGAGCCCACTGCCGCTGATCTCTCACCTGGGTTACCTTGTGGGCCTGTGGGCCAGTCTGCTGCCGCGTATAAACCCTTTCTCTGCACCGCGTCTCGGCTCCGTTCTGCGGCTGCCAGCGCGGGGAGCCCCCCGGGGCGGGCAGGGC